ATATATATATGGGTGGTTTCCTAAAATGGTGGTGCCCCAAAACCACGGGTTTCAATACTAAAATAGTCTAATTTTGGATGATCGGGGGTACCCCTATTTTAGGAACCCCCCATATATCATAGTTGAGTTTGATAACTACTGTAGACACTGTAGACTATAGGTATCTACCACCAACAATCCCACAGAGCGAACCGTGAACCTCTGCGGCTTCAACGACTTGGGAGAGCTAACAACTACCCACCGTGTCAGATGTTTAATCTCCCCAGTAACATGTCAGGACCCCTATATACATCAATATAATCTACACTGTCTATACCATGTTACCATGATTCTTACCATGATTAGCTTCAAACAAAAAACTATATTCCACTCAGCTCTTAATGAACAGCCGAGGAACCCCTAAAAAAATTGAAAATCATGAGCATATGTTAGTCTAGGATTTGTATTTGATGAATTATGAATTACCATGAATTACCGTGATTAACTTCCACTGCTTCCACTGTGCCGCTATACATGGAAAGACCCCAGGAAGCTACTGGAAAAACGTCTTGGTTCTATTTCTGCAAGCTATGTATGTCATATAAACATAGAAAACATAGTGTATCCTATTAGTGCCAACGGATTGGCTTACGGGGAAATCTACTGGAAACATCTGGAAACCACAGATTTTTCCTATATGAAATATAGAATGTTCCTGTAATTTTCCCTTAAATCCATTGATAGTGTTCCCATCGCCAGAAACACTTGAAACTCGTACCAATCACCAAGGTTTGCCCAGATCGACAGAACGACCCTCAACCCTTCGAACCCTGGGCCCCTAGCAGAGACATGGGCATTCATCGCGCCTCTGCGGACGGCGCTCTTCTTGGATGATCAAACAAAAATTCAGCACGGCAGCACGCAGCTGTTTTCCGATACAATTGGCTGTATACACTTAGGTACAACAACCTAAAGGCTCCAAATAGATTTACATCTACTAGTACATGTCAAGAATAATGGTAAAATGTGCGGTAAATGATTCGGTACATGGTCGTAAACATCCGTATCAATAGACGTGGAGATCTGGGTTGTGGGTCACCAGAAAGCCAAGTCAGTGTGGTCTTCCTTTGCGGCTTTATCCCAAGTTTCAGAGATTCTTTGGGGCCACAGGGCCATAATTCCAAATAACAAAAACACAAGTTCTTGTAAGAACAAACAATGATACATTCATCTGTGCAAGTTAGAATCGTTCACACACCTGAAATGTTGCTCCATTTTCAGATTGATTCCCCTTATAGCTCGTAAGCATCATGCAGTGAACGAATCCCCACACCATCCGCGCCTGAACGTTGAAAAAGAGGGACGAAATTCAACAACGGATCACAGCGACAGGCAATGGTTGACCTGTACAGCTTCAAACCACCTGATCTTGTTAAGTTTTGTCAAGAGCCCACTTTCACGAAACTCTAGACCCGTAGAAGGCAAATCATGAGTAAGTTTTTAATGGCACTTAAGTGTCAGAGCTAGCTCAACTAGCATGAAATGTGACTTGAAAAAAAAAACGCATACTTTTCGCATTTCAGTCTTTAGCCGAGTGAGAAAGTGGCTCCACCTCTACTCTTGATATGGGATCTCCTTGGAAGATACAGCAGCGAAGGGATGATGAAGACGTACCATGGCACCCATATCATCCTACCAGATGGTGCCCCAAAACGTAATTTATAACCCACAAAACCGTTGTTTCTGATAGATATATCCATAGTTAAGGTGGTTTATAGACCGACTTATAACTAGGAGGAACCACATTGTAAACGATTTGAATTTTGATCCAAAACCAGAAAATTGCCTTGAAGTCTCTCCCCAAAAGGAATGATGCACGGAACAAATCAACTGTTGATCTTTCTTTCAGATAAGGATATACAATGCTGCCTGAATTAGAAAGCCATTTTTAAGATCGTTGCCGCAATCCGATTTTCATCATTCAATTTCCGTCGCGACGTGAAGTCATCATCAAATTCATCCAGATATATCCCCATCGTACCCCGATTGATTTCTCATTAAACCACCATGTTTGTTGCTTGAAACATCTTGCAACACAATTTTGGCTGGTTACATCTCCACAAAACAAAACCATCCACTTTGGGCAATTGGGCTGCAAATCACCATATCTAATAGGTGTATAATATCTATATCTATATATATATGTATATAAATCATCTGTACATGGGCCATGTTCATCCATTTTTCATGGCTATCTTGAATGACCAGAGGGTAATAGTCCATGAATCGTGATTTTTTCGTCTGATGCGGCCATCCTTCCAGTTGAGCAGGTTGAGCAGTGTCAAGTTGATGCGTGGTTCATGATTCAAATGATTTTTTTAATGAATTCTTGATTTCATGGACCATCATCCTCCCCAAGATACTTCAATGGCAATGGCAGGAAGTTCCAGGTGACCAAAATCTGGTACCTTGCGGCTGCTAAGCCCTATGTATCTTGTTTGGGCTCACAAGTCACCTCAAATAAAACATGTGTCCCTTTAAAAAAAGCTGGATTTGACAGCTTGAAAAACATACATAACAAATCTGCTTAGTGGTTCACACCAGGTAGTAAGTATGCTATCAACCCAATAACCCCACTAATAACTAAGTAGGGTAAGCTTGGTCCACTTTCAGATGGAACCACACCTATAAGATCCCATTTTGTCGAGGTGCTGTCCTCCCACAAGGTATAAGTTGCTTGATGAACTCCATTAAATATCATATATATATATATATATATTTGCCATGCCATTGCCCTCTTAAAGTAGTACACATTCTCACCAACGAAGCAAATGTTTTGGGGAGCAAATGTTTTGGGGCACCCTGTAACCATCATCTACGGACAGTGATGTAAGTGCCAAAACCCCAAATCCCACCATTTCCGAATGATTTTCCCCATGGATGTTCCCAACAAATCAACCAGACAAATCCCACCAGTTGATTCGCGGAGGAAGTTGATTGGTTCGTAATTGGCCCATACCAGTAACATCCAGTAACCTATAGTTACATCCTGATTTAAGACCTGGTGCAGCACTATTCCCCAACCCACGTCACCATCATTTCCCCATCATTTCCCCATCATTTCCCCTTGGGGCCAGCAAAGCCCAGGACCCTTTTTGCTGTTCTCTGAGATCAACGTCGCCCGAGCAACGTGGCGACATTGGCAGCTTGGGTGGTATGATTTGGGGCCCCAAGATAGCTAAGTTGTTTTATGTTCACCCATCAAAGTATACAATCCATAGTAAATCTTGTTGAGTTATACTTGAGGGATCGTGAGGGAAGCAATTCCACTTAATTTGTGTGGCTATATGGCCATAATTGTAATGGGGTTACTGTAAATATAGAATCCTTCAGCAATTTCTCCCTTGTGGCTTTCATTTTCCTCTATATTGGTGCCACCCTGCATGGATATTGATTCAACATGACCTTATTTGCGTGAAAAATCTGAGCATGGGAATATGCGAATTATTGGGGGGATTCAGTATCAATACCATACCCACCTGTTGCAGTGTGTATATATATATACACATTATACATAACTTATTATATTTGTATATATTATATATAATATATACACATACTGCATGTATATATAAACACATCAATACAGTTCTGCCTTTTAATATTTCCAGTCGCCAGCACACTACTGGATAATTTGCCACATAAGCATCCAGTTTTGTATCCATCAATGATCCTGGCTGTGCCGCCACGCCGAGCCATGATAATAAGCGATGCAGGTCGACAGGTCATTGCACAATTCTGCGGAAAATCCAGCGAAACGAAACATGCGAAACGATTTACGTTTGGTGGTGCACTTACGACTAAGCGAAATGTTTGTTGATTTAGAAAAACCCCACTGACTTTTTTAATCACCATAAACCATAGTTGATATCCACCATAAACCACAGTTGACCCAACTAGAAACCAACTAAACTATTTTTTTTAAGGGGCACTAGCTGTACCTTTCAGTCTCTGGATTTTCCCGATCGAAACCTGCGCCAATTTCCTGAAAGCTAAGACAGCTAAGGCCCTTTTTCCAATCCTCTAAGGATGGCACTTGAATGGTGAAGTTCCAGTTCCATGTGAATATGTATATGTATAAATATAATATATACATATGTATGTATACATGTTATGTATATCTGTATATCCAAAGTTATAGGTGTCATATCCCAATGAATTGACCAAGTCAATGCCATGGGACCCACCAACCCGTGGTGGAAACCATAGAAACATGTGTTTTTCCTTAGATCCCTTAAATAATACATAGAATAGTGAGTAGATAAATAATCATCCTGAAGTAGATAGGGGTTTTCCAAAATCATTTCCATCTTAATCACTTTGTTTTTGAAATCTCTGTGTTCTGTATGTACTCCATGATGACTATATTGTATACTATGTATATATATATATGCATATATATATATATATGGATATGTATATATATATATGTATATGTATATGGAAAGGTCCTAAAATGGGGGTACCCAACAATCATCCATTTTAAAAGAATGTTATAAATCATCGGTCATCTATTTTGGGGATCCCCCATTTACAGAAGCCCCCCCCCAAATATATATGAATATCTAAATATATTTATATATATATGTGTATTGCACACATAACTGGGAACGGCTCTAATGTGCTCCAGCCGTGGTTACCGCATTTCACAAAGGCTTGGATCATCCAAGTGTTGAGACGCCGTAGGCACCCAGTTGGAACAGGGATTTCATTGGCAGAAAACGATGGAATTTCAGCTATGCGATGGAAATCCCGGGTTGAAATAGATAGTTCGGACTCCACTCTGTACTTGATGTGGTGCCCCAGTTCGTGAACGCTAAGTTGGTGCCAATAACTTCAATAACGTTTGTGGTAGATATATCTATAGTTAATGGAGTTTATAATTTATAAACCAATTTATGACTAGGGGGGCCCACATCGTAGGTTTCCCTGGTCTCCAGGTACCGAAATGGCACCGCGGCTCACTTCTCACCGGCAAAGACCGGTGGCTGCTGAATCTCCGAAACCACACAGCCCTGGGGAGGATCGACCAAAACCTGAACTGGTTGGTGGTATACCATGGTATACCTACCCCTCTGAAAAATGTGAATTCGCCAATGGGAACGATTATCCCATATATGAAATGGAAAATCAAAAATGTTTGAAACCACCAACCAGTGAAAACTGGGATTTGTTCAGGAATTTGGTTCATTCTTGCAACATTCCCTGAACATGTAACAATGTGACCGTCAACAACACAGCTTACAACATTCCACATCCGCCATGTTTGCCACATCTTCACACCATTTTCTGACTGTTTCCACCATACTTGGGGGGTTTAGTTCAAGTCATAATTGGATATTCAATCATAGTTACAAATTTATATGGATTATTGAACCTTATGAATACCATTGGGTTCAAATTGTATTATCAAAATGGGTATTACTTTGGTGGTTCTTTATATGGATTGTTAAGTTCTATTTGAAAAACATGTGCATATATAAATGGATTATCATTCTTGTTATAATCATTACTGTTATCAATCTACTGGATTATTACATATCAATCATCCAACACAATCACCATAACAATTTCTGTATCACACATTGCATAACAATCACCATTACTATTATTATTACAATCGTTGATACAACAATCACCTCAATCCCCAGCTCGCCTCGCTGGCCCCCGAGCGCGGCGAGCTGAAGACCTCCCCCGGCGCCACGCGTGGCGGCGCGCCATCGCCGGCGCCGGGGGCGCCGGTGCCGCTTCCGAAGCCGTGGAGCACGGCGCTTTTGGCGGCGGAGGCTAGGTCCTGGGGAAAAAGGGTGGAAAATCTGTTGGCAAAGGTGGAAAAAATAAAGAACATCCGAATAAATATGAGCTTTGCGGGGATATATCATGATTTACTGTATATGTAATTTAATGGCGATATACCATGAATATGATTGGTTGATGCCGTAAAAAAAACAATTACAACATTAAGCATGATAGTAATTCACCAACAATGGGAACTTAACACGGTGGTGCACCCCAATGACATGTCTTTGTTTATTTTGTAAATTCCATCTATTATAGAAATGTATAATACAATGTAGGGCGCCCTAGTTATAAAATGGTTTATAAACCCCAATTAACTATAGATATATCTACCATAAACCAAGGTTATTGAAATTATAAACAAACTTAGCTAACTATGGGGAACCACATTGTATACATATATATATACAATAAACCCTAGTTGTATTAGTTGTAAACCAACTGAGGGACAGAAACTCTGGGGCACCGCCTTGTCGAAATATGGAGGATTTCAAAAAGATTCAAAAAGTAGGTTGCATGGAACAACATTGAGAATTTGATGAGAACACACACACAAGCAATTCAGTGGAGATTTAGGTCGAAATCTATGGGTTTTGGTTGCGATTTATGGAGATTTACTTTGAATGATGGGAAAATAATCTGTAGCCAATATATGAGGTGGGGAAAATGGTATGGACATAGACCAAACATGCTTAATCAGCGATCAGCGCACATTTATAATATGATTTGTTGGCAATTCAGTGACAACTCATAGCCATTTTGAAGGGATCTATATAAAGCCTCCTTCATCTTCCAAAACTGATAGATGGACATTTTCCATGATCAAATCTCTGGTTGTGGTACGTTTGAAGGAGGATGAAAGGCTTTAAAACTCGAGAGACGGTCATCGCCACCACCAGGATTGCAAGTACAAGGGACAGATTCCCACTTCCATAGGAGGTCCCCTACGGCAGCACCGATCACTGTATCGCAAATGGGTCTCTTGGGGCACATGGCCATGATCCATCATGATCCTGCGATGCCTGATGGCAAAACCACATTCGATTTCAACAACGGCCGGCCATTTACGGATTTACGATTTTTACCCTGCTGAAATCGGAAAATGTCCCCAGTTCCTTGAGTTTCCCAATCTTCCAGTGGATGTGCCGTGTTCGATCCAGTCCTGCAGCACCTTCCAGCTTTGCTTCCTGCCGCGAGATGGGAAAAAATGGTCTTGGCACTGACATGCGCTGGGATGTTTGAGAAAAATCTGAAGTCAACCAAATTCAAATGGTATTGCGCCAGAATTGGAAATTCAGTTGACCCAGAAAAGTATTCATTTACGCCATCTTTGGCTGGAATCCTTTGGTTCTCATTTTTTGAGGCTTTCTGTATACAGTACCCTCTAGTTATGGGAAAATTGCCCATTTATAGATGATAAACATGTTGATTTACCTAGTAAACATGCTATGTTGAGTAACCCGAGGGCACTTCTTTTCTTGCCAACGAGTTGGCGCCCTTTCCCGAATTTGTTTTGTCAAATGTCTGGAACTCCCAAACAAAATACCATTGCACAAGTGGACAATGAGAATAAGCTGTGGGAATTTGGGGCCACCTTAGTTTCAATGGGACAACCTGAAAGGTCACCAAGCTCGACTTTTCTGTGAGGTTTGGCTCAAGACGGAGTAAGATAGGGACCAAAGAGTTGGTTTATAACTATAGGCTATAGGTTTAAAACATGATGTATTGTAGATATACCTCGAATTGGATGGGCGAAATGTATATATATATAGCTGGGGTCCGTGTCACATCAGAATTTTGGACGTAGTGGGCCATAGGTTTTGGGCAGTTTTCCAGGATGAACAATTTTATTTCTTGGGTGCAAGGTGGTGCCTGCAGTGACATGCTTGTTGGTTTTTAAAACCCATGAGTACTAGTTCGATATATCTATATACCATAAACAACCCCATAAGCCATAGCTGACCTAGTTATAAACCAACTTAGAGGGCACCAACTTGCAACCCCATCTTGAGCCATACCCAGCAGCCAAAAAAAACAAACCCCGTCTTCAATGCCTCTGCATATTTTTAGCTCTACATGGGGGAGACAAACAAACAATATAGTAGTCCCGAGAAACATAGAAAAACTATAGAAAAGTAACATCCTACTAAAACAGTTATAAATTATAAATGATGATAAATGTGTGTTTTAGGATTTTGGGCTTTGCTATAATCCTCACAAGCCTTTTTCATCCCATTCATATCATCCCAGAAAGGTCACAACCTCCGACCCAACGAGGGTCGAACCAGAAGGCAATCATCGCCTGGCAGGTGGGCTTGGCTGACAATGGGTCCATCTATGCTTCGTGCAGTTTAGGCAAATGGTTTCGAGATGTTTGGGCTGAGGGTCTACTTACTGGTGCTTAGCAGGGAACGAGGGAATGATCCACAATGACTATCAATAATCAACCCAGCAACCCCGATTCCCATCCATTCACTACGTTTAGCACTGGTAAGTCTATGGTACACAATCCAAATCACATGGCTCGGTGTATTACAGGTCCATCTTTGGAGGTTCCGTATACTTCTCCAAATCTCCCCAAAGCCAGATGAATTCGGTTGCAAAGCAGTCACCTCTCAGCCATAGGGCTTTGTCATACCACCCAACTCTCACGAGGTCTCGGCTCGGACTCTCGGACCTCCTTCGTTTGAGGGCCAAAGTACTTCTCTTGCAAACGCAGCGACGGAACCTGGCATAGCTGGGTTTTTGGGGAGAGTTTCTACCAAAGTAAGGACACAGTGACAAGGACCCTGCAAGCTGGAGCCGCCAAGTTTTGTTGGCTTGGAAATCTTCTCAAGATATATATATATATATATTTAAGCTAGCCATTGTTTTGATGCAGCCGATTTGGGTACTCAAGGTTGGGGTGAACCAGGGTTATAAAATCATATCCCTAAAGTTCTTTACAGTTTAGGGGTTTCACCCCACGGACCACACCCAAAGGTGGACATGCCATGGCATGTTTATATCCCCAACCTGCCAAGAAAGAGAGCTGCGGAACAATTACGCATAAACCGTCGTGCAACTGGTCAAGACCATTTGACAACTCATCTTTATATATATAAAATAGTATTATATAGTTACCATAAACATAGTCAACCTAGTTATGAACCAGCTTAGAAGGGGCCCCCACCCTGTGCAGTGCCCCCGTATATAGATCAAAAGGTTGGCATTGTGGTTTCCCCGTGCCCAAAACTGCTTCAAGGTGATGGAAAATTCACGATGGACGATGTATGGATGGTCAAACCCTGGTGGTTTGTCTCGATTTTAAGGTGAATCAAATTGAATCAATCCTGTGTGAAGATGTTTCCCCACTTACAGCTCCAATCTGATTCACCAATCTCAATTTTTCAGACGGGATTTTCCGAGTGGTTCTCGGATACATTCCTATTTGCACCATTCCAACACAACTTTTGTTGGTTCTATCCTATCTCCCCGTGTTTTTTGATTCATTAGATCAATTGAATCCTATTGTATCACTGCATTTTTTGCTGAAATCCTATCAACATCACGATATCTCAGCACAAATCACAGCAAATCACTGGTTTTGTTGGTTGAATCAATTTTAACCACATTATAACAACCTAATAATCCTATCAATGTGTTGGTTTTGTTGGTTATTATAAGTTATAAAATATCAACATCAATTTGGAGAGATCGACAAGTTCAATCCAATCCTAATGATTCATTGACCCCAAAATCGGAGTCTTAATGAAATCACCACGAAATCCCCAGAGTTATGACCACCTTATGCCAGTTGTAAGTCAAGGAAGTCACCTATTTCCGACTGATAAAAACAGTCGAAAAGATCTTCAAAAGCAAGAGCTACCATGGTTCTCATAAGAAACCCCAATCGCCAATGATGTTTTTTCGTTCTGGAGAACTTGTGCTCAAAGGATTCACCATTTTCTAACGGATGCCTTCACTGCATTTTGGGCACGGTCTAGCCATGTGATGCCCGGCTGAAAATCCACCGGTTCAACAGCTGAAAATCCCTCCTGCCGTCGCAGCACCACCAGCATTGCTGCAGCCAGCAGGGCGGAGCGCTTGTAGCGCAAGGCCTCGGGTCCCAGTTGAAGTCAAGGAAAAAAGCAGGGGGAGTAATTGATAGTTCAAACAATTCGTAGATGTTAATCATATGTTAATAGATGTCAATAGTATTGTATGAACTATTGTAGTTGAAATATTAAAGTAAAAATAATGATAATGATCATGTAGCTGTGGTATTTGAATATTTGATTAAACATATATGAAAACATCATGTTCGTTGGGCATCGAGCATCAGGGGACCATTTCCAACTGTATGGATGGGGCTTCACTGGTCCCGGGTCCATAAGGCTGAGCTGAACTGAGCAAACACCGATTAAATTTAAGGCTGTTGCATGAGAGGATTCTGACCATGGTCACGTTTTATGAAGGGGTTTACTATAACCCAGATGCTCCATGTGTGGTATATTTACCTACAAAACTGGGTGATTTCGTTCGGGCAAATGTTGGTAAATATTCCAGCACCATGGTTCGCATATGGGTAAAATATTAAGTGACAAGAAAATATGCTACGAATTGGGGGCCTGGAGAAAGGAATTTCTGAGATCCCCAGGCACACATATTGAACAAAAACCGGTGGCACCCATCAAATATCTGTCCATGTTGGCTCCAACATGTTTCCAAACCAGTATTCAGCGTGCTCAATCATGCGGTCTCGGAATTAAAAATCAAGAATTGAGGCCGTTTTTGGCCACCCACAGAGGGAGACATCTTGATCTAGGGGGCTAAGTAAACATTCTCAACGGAACATCCTCTGCAAAGTGTTGTTCCGGCTGAATGATTAAAAACAAATAATAATACCTGGCTATGTAAGTTTTGCCACCAAGCGTAGCATCTGTCGACTCTTTCCGGATGGGCCCCCAGGCCACATGCACCGACCACAAACTCACACGCTCACTCACCTGGAGGGCGCGAGACGTCCGGGAAGAAAGGACAAACATGGGGAGGGCATTAAGAAGATATAGGTCTGGCGAAAATAGGGAAACATAGGGAAACAATTAGAAAAAATAAGTAAAACACATGTGTCAACCCAAATGCTAAGAGGGAGACAGTTTATGGCACTATATACTAGTCATATAATCATAAACTAGTTCGTTCAACCAACCTAGCAAAATATTTTTTGGGCATCACCTTGAAGATCGTGATCAGTGTTTTCCAACGTCTGGGATCAACATCCAAGTGCTACCACATGTTTCCTTATCCTTTTGAAACATCAATAAATTGGAACAATAACTCACTATGTACCCTCAATCTAACATGGCAACGGGAAATGGCACTGGGAATATCTTCTTTCTTGACATGTTTTTTGTTGGGTATCCATGGTTACACCAGAGGGTAACTGTCGAATTTCAGGTGATCTTGCACCCCACAAAAAAGGACATCACTGGAACTGTCGCTTCGACCTCATCTATCCAACAACGAGATGTGGCCTACAAGGTGGTGCCCCCCCAAGTGAAACGTTTGTTGTTTTTTCCCATTAAGTATAGATATGTATAAAAGCATAGTGAAATTGAAGTTATTGGAACCAACTTAGCTATCATAAATCAGCTAAATCAATCCCCTATGGAGATCCCATCACCATAGGAAAAGGGGTGTTTCATCCAACTTCTGGATGTCCAAATTTCGGATCGCCTGAAGCGTCTGTAGTCCAGCAAAGGCGAAGGACAGCCAGAAGAGTGGCCTCAGGATCGGATCACGTGGCCGGCAAAATACGGAGATTTCATACATTGAAAGCCCATAAGCCAGTTATAAAATGGTTAGAAATAGGGCGATCTGAGATGGATATAAATAGTTATGGTTATAATAAGCCAGTGAATGGTTATAAATGGATCATGAACCATAAATGGGGTGACATCTGAGATCCATAACTATCAAAACTGGTATAGCGAGTCGGGGCCGTTTGGGGTGAACCATGGTGAACCACTGGGTACAGGAGGGTGAACTGACCACCAAATCATGCCAGTTATGGCCTTATGGCCATAGCCATTGACCAGTTGTTTTTTAGACAGCAAAAATCACCCCGTTGGAATGATCATCCCACGTTTAAAACCACAATGTGGTGCCCCATAGTTGGCTAAGTTGGTTTATAACTCCAATAACTATGGTTCATGGTAGATATATCGAACTAGTTAAAGGGGGTTATAAACCAACTTATAACTTCGGGGGCATAACCTTGCATATATGGTATGACCGATTTTTAGGGCACTGCTCTGAACTTGGCACAAAAAGGGGCCCCGACGGGAGCGGCTTGGCATTGTGGCAAAGCTGTACAAAGGCCTGCACGGCTGTCGGTGGCTTTGGTTTGTGATAAGCCGAAGAAACTCTGATCAAAAACGGAATCCAAATAGCAAACCAAGATTGGTTGGATCGTCCGAATTTAAGAGCGGCAGGATGGTTTACTCGGAGGACGTTGCCTGAAGTTGGGATTGGTCATTGATAAAATTGACAGGACTCAGAACCTCTTGTGACTTGTGAATTTAAGGACTTGCAGCCCACTCTCTAATCATCAAAATGCATAATCTCCAGGATCGTATAAGCAGGCACGACTCACTGAAGCCAGCACAACAACCCCATGTCTGAAATCCCATTGCAAGCTGATGTTACACATCTGTTCTTTCTTGTTTTTTCGTTGGTAATGTGGCAAACCCAACAAGGAAACCCAAAATCAGTTCAGCTTCAATGTCCCAAGTGGCGCCATAGCCTCCGTGCTGAAAAAGCTGCGGGATTCCTTCACAGTTATGTTTGTTGGTTTATAACACATATTATCATTCAAAACCACAGGGTTACCATTCAACAGGGCTACTATTCAATGAGGTTACCTTAGCATCCTGACATTCTTAAAAAGTAGGAAACTTCCAAAACACCCCAACACATTCAAACAACTTCCAACACAGTCAAAAGCTTCGAAAAACATTTCAAACCATATTCACAAAACGTCCAAAACATTCCAGAAAAAATCAAAGAAACACTAGCCCAAAAGTACCAAATCATTCCAAACAAATCCAACAAAAACAATTCATTCATTAAAACACAACAAAAAACATTTCAAAAAAATGAAAAAAACAAGTCATTCCAACAACCAACAACATACCAAACTCATATCAGAATTAATATGAATATGAAGTGTTTGGAATGTGTTTGAATGATAGTCTGACATCAGAACATGATTTAATAGTACCCTGTTGAATGGTGACCCTGTCCTCATTAAAGACATTAACTGTAGTATAAGTATCAGTATATCCATAGTTAATTTTTGGACTTAAAAACCAACCCACTGTAGCGATTTCCTGGAAGAATCACTGCTACCATCATCTGCAGTCATGGTCACGTTCACTTTCGGCACCTTAGCGTTGGCACAATGTCGATGGTGTAACTGTTCTCAATGCCGTAGCCGAAAAGGCGCTTTTGCTTTGCATCACTTGAGTGTCAGAAATAAATCAGGCATCCACCCGAAGTGAAATTCGCAAGGTCTTGAACACGGAACTGCTTGACAGTCTTGCCAATGAATGTCTCGATTGGGTGGGTATTGCCACTGGGAAAGCGAAGGTTGATGTTCGCTGCTGACTTCAACGTCCGTGAGCTCTTTGAGGATCTTGAGGAGGTTGCCCTGAATGGCAGTGAAATGCTGAGCATTTTCTGCCTCAATGCGCAAAACAGTGCAAAATATCTCCGCCTTTTCAATCTGTTCAGCCTTCAGAGCCCTGCAGTTGAAGATTTCACGGAATATTACTGTAAGGTATATGATAAATCTAATGTCAACCCCGGATTAAAAAACCATTGCTTATTATATAATTAAGGGGGTACTCTTCCAATAGACACTATCTGATACTTAAATGGTACCCTCCTCCCAATTAAACAGCCTAGGGAATTATTAATCCAGGGTTGACATTATATATTTAAAATTCAATATCTATATATATATATTGATATATATATATATATAATCATATTTAATATATCTATATTTATATAATATAGCTATATACTAAATCTATCTATATCTAAATCTATACCTATCTATAAATATATCTATATCTATGTATTATAGCTATAAATTAAATATATTTATATCTATACACTACAGCTATATACTAAATATATCTATATCTAAATATTATAGCTATATACTAAATATATCTATATCTATATATTATATTTAGATACTAAATATATATATATATATATATATATATCTATATTATTCATATATCAAATATAGCTTCTCACCAGCTGCCAGTTGCACAGTGGCCCCTTCACTGCCAACGGACTGGGCCCGAAGGCCCAACGACGGACCGGGCCTCCACCAGGCGTCCCTGCGTCACGGACGGCGGCACGTCCTGCCGGGTTCCGAAAAAATGGCCCAACGAGGGATGGGGGTATGTAGTATTTTAGGAACCCTCACTGGATGTTGAAAACCTGTTTCCATAGGAAAAAACATAAACAAAATCTACCAATGGTGGGTTTCCACATCTAAACCTTTTTGGTGAAATGTGATGGGAGATATTTTTGAATGGACTGGTTTTGTTGGCAAAATTGGAACCCACTAAAAAAAAAATCCATTGAAACCCCTTCCGGTGGTCATCTAAAATATGTTGAGCAACGAAAAGTCTCCAGTTTCAATAGGAAATTGACTTATAAATGATCCATCAATTGGTTCTTGTCATCATTTTCGCAGACTGAATTACCAATTTGGGTGATTGTCAAACCGGAACACATTTAGGAACATCATCTAAAACTTGAAGGGGTGAACATTTCAGGATTTCCAAAGGCGATTCTTTGTGAAAGTCGCTGGGGAATGTGTCCATTGAAAACGCGCCAAGCTGCAATTATTACAAAGAGAAATGAAGATTTACTGACAAAAAAGGCGGGTTACTACAAACTTATGCCCCATGTGGATCCATGTGGTATTTTTACTAAGGTTTACACCAAGCAAGATCTTGTTTGCAGAACATAGACAATGCATCAGTTGCAGGAGGTAACTATTGTGAGCAAATTATGGCAATCGATCATGGTAAAAACTATAATATAGCTGGGTTTTGATCAAAATTCCTTTATCCGGGAACGGCCATTCTTCGCGAACAAAAATGTTACTTTCGCGAAACTTTCGCGAACTCCATGTTTATCTTTCGCGGGGCCCATGTTGGCCAACAACACCTCTTATGAAGATTCGTTCACCATCTGCCAAATTACGCCAGAGAATCACGGATCAATTCTTGATAGCCTTTTAAACATGCAGCTAGCATCACGGAATCCCTTCTAAGGGCAGATTGTTGCTGACTAGTTTTTTTTGGCAAGGTTTACTGGCCCACCCCCTTCAACATGCACTTCGACTTTTGCCCTCTCTTTCGCATAACTTTCGCGAAAATATCCCTATTCACAGACCCCGGCCATCAGCAGGGGGTGCATTGAAGGAAAAGCGAACACCAGGGGCCTTGGTGTTTGGCTCTCGCAAAGCCTCACTTTTGGAAACTTGGCTATAACTGCATGTGGAGCTTGTTTCTTGAGACTTCAAAAAGCATCATTAGGCAGTGACAGCGGCAGGTGCAAGGATGTACTTCAGGACCATGGCGTTTGGCTGTCGCGAAGCCTCGCCTTTGGAAGCTCGGCTGCTACCTATGAAGATTGTGATTGTCCACAAGCACCACCACACAGGGAACTGAACCAGAACCAAACCGAAATTCTCTAGTGCCCTTCTCCTGCCGGACCCCGGGCGGCAGTTGGTGGCAGCCCTTTACATAATGATTATAATATCCAACTTTCGCGAAACTTTCGCGAAAAATAATGTTACTTTCGCGAACTCGAAAAAAACTTTCGCGAGGGTTTCCAACATAACATGCACGGCTTTCGCAATTAAAACTCCTTACAGGGACCTTTAGATCGATCACCAGCTGGTTGTTTACTTTAGTAAAGCTACAACAGGAACTACCATGACAAGTACCTATCAGCTATCTCATATGAGTTCTTGCTGCCTACCATGTAAGTCTTGGTCCAAGGATGCCATCAGAGCATCAATACAGCCGGGAAGTCGTGTCTTACCCGCCATTTCCTCAGAATACAAAAATCACTTTACTTTGATTTTCATGACACACCAAGGTTACATAAACGATGTGACTGATGTGACTGGCGATCGTCAATTTCCATCATTAAGCTGGTTACCTGGTTGAATATGGTCTATAATTGGAGCTTTTGAACAGGCAAATCATCTAGGGATTGATAATGGAAAATCCTCAGGTCTTAATAGGTTCCTACTGATCGCATTGCCCGAATCCTGGGTCACTGAAACTCTCCCAAATTTTGCGCGAGAATCATGGTGGGACCGGCTCCAACTAGGTCAAGATTTCGTGAGGTAGAAGATGCGGGGTCTTCAACATGCACATCCTTTGTGGTCCAGCTATTGACCCCACATCACTTTCTCTGAGAATGGTGAATTTCTGTGGATTTACTGCGAAGTTATGGCCATGTTCTTCGTAAAATTATGTACACAACGAGATGTCGGAGTTTTGGCAACTTTTGTTTTGGCAACTTGTTCTCAAGAGAAACGCAGCCCGTGTATTCCAGTATTCCATTTTTCTCGTACATTTACCTGTATACATGGTGGCTCACCCCAACTGTAAATGTATTACCAGCCCAACTATAACTGGACTGTATAATCATACTTAACATACTTATAATTGGGGTTATAACCCACTTGGGTCATAAAGATGCAAGTCTTTTGGGTCCTTTTTGACAGCAGCATCAATTTCTGTCCCCTCCTGCAGCAAATGCCGGCGATGCTTCTGTAGCATGAGAATACCTCCCGGAAGCCAGCTTGGAAAGGAGCTAAGAATGGCCTGGAAGCCGGTTTTTTGAGTCAAACATTGGGACTGATGGTTCTACAGGGGGGGCCCCCTAGTTATAAATGGGTTTATAAACCCCTATGAACTAGTTCGATATATCTACCATAAACCATAATTATTGAAGTTATAAACCAACTTAGCTAACTATGGGGTACCACATTGTACAGAACAAACACTTTGATTAAGCAAATGCTGACTTTGCGACAGATTAAACCCCCGACGATCATCAGGTTATCAACCAGTCGTCCACATCATGTAATTTCTGCTGGTGAATAAGCGTCTACATAATTTTGCTTTGTCGTTTCATAAGATGCCAAACAATACAATTTTTGTTGGTTTTCCAATTACCTCGCATTCCCCAACGTTAATCCAGATTCACTAGATGAATGCCATTGATGCAACTAAGATTCACAAATTGAATGCTCCATCCTAGGCTAAAATTCCCAAATCACCTGTTTTTTTTGGCTGTTTTGATCGCCAATTTGTAAACGAAGACCCCGCAAGCAGTGGCACTGGGCGTGGCTGCGAGGAACTTGGAAAAGCCTCAGTCAGGCGTTGGCTATCGTTCTAAACCCAGAATACGCATTCTGATGTGAGATTCAACTTCTCACAGGAATCGTTCTCTTGCCTGTTTTTGCCGCACAATCTTTTAGAAACAAAAACTGCAGCATTGGGTTCTAACATGTTCTAACTATTCTCCATCTTTGCTCACAAATAATGTTGCTGTCAACCCTGAAGCCAGTGATTCATTTTCCAACTTTAATTACGTAATAACGTCGGAGGAAGTGAAGCGCTTTTTTAATCTATTTATCAAAAAAACAGTCCAGCGGTACTGTACTTTGCTTTCCCTGTTTCCTGAGGGTTGTCGCAGTGCCACCAGAATTTCCTTCCGGGCCATCAATTATAGAGCTTGAACAGTAGACTGGCTTGCGGGGCATCAGGATGAGAAAAGTTTGTCTCAAGATTCGCAAGCGCATTTGATTCCCATAGTAGGATCGTTCTCATGCAGTGGAATCGTTCTCATGGAGTAAAATCCTTCTCATGAAGCAGAATCGTTCTCATGGAGTAGAAACGTGCTGATGGAGTGGAATCGTTCTTTTGGAAATTGTTTCAACTGACTTTGAATTTCTTTTTTTGCATCCAAAACGTTTCTTTTTTTGAAGCGAATGGGGGATTGAGCGTTTTGAAGACACAGTATACAGGGTAAAACATGGGTTGTTACAGGGTCGTTCTTTTCCTGTGAATCGTTCTTTTGAAAAATATGGTGCGGCATGTATGGAGTGGAAGAGTTAATGTGGGTTAGGGTGACTCTGGCATAGGCTACGACACATGCATTGTGTGATCATCGCTTTGTTCCTGGAATCGTTCTCCGTTCTCATGGAGTGGAATCGTTCTCAGGAGCGGATCGTTCTCCTGGGCTGGACTTATTCTCTTGGGGCTTCCAACCTCTTCGGAACCTTTCTTTTCATTTTTTCCTTAGATCGGAAATTTTCCTGTTGCTTTCTTGGATCGAAACTTATATGCTCCGCCTTTCTGGTGGGACAATCGAGCCCCAGTCTTCTTCCTGTAAAAACGCGCAAGTTTGAATCACCAATGTTTCCAACATGTTTTCTGGGATTGCAGCACGAAATCACTCGCGGTCGGGTGATGCCATTTTCACAAGATTGCAAAGGACACAAGAAACACGCCAAGGGGAAGAGTTGAAACATCTATTGGGAATGGGATATTCATCTCTAGAATCGTTGGATTAGAGGACCTAAGATTTAATTTAAAAGGTATCAACTTTCCCAATAGATTTAGATCATATTTACCCACAATTATGGCCCCAAAAAAACCAGTTATAAGTCAGTTATATATACCAAAATTTTGGAATGATAACCCCAATCATAAACATAAAAAGAAACCGCTAGAGGGCTTTAATTGCATTGAATACCACTGAATTGCATTCTCATCTGCAGATTCCCCAACTATGTCTATTACAAGGGCCCATGTTTGTGAAGCCTGTTTCCTGCAAAAAACGGTCTTTTTTTTGGAACTGCTTGATTGTGCTTTTGCTGCTGCTCGCGGCGCAGCAATGCACACAGCCTCAGTCAAGCACCTATGGTGGCCATGAATGTGAGGAGGATGTTAGATGTCATGGCGGGGTACCTGAATCGACTAATGTTTGGGTATGTCTTTTTTTGTAGGGTAGAACCCTAGGAGCCACTTGAAAGAATCTTCATAGAGCAAGTGACAACAAACACCTTTTCAAGCCCATTCGCTCCCATTTGCATGCTGGGCCGGGTCTTGCCAACAGAGTCCCTCAATCGACACCGACTAGATTATCAGGAATTATGTCATGATAGGCTTTCAGAGTGGAAGCTAAAAGGAGATGAGCTATCCACACAAAAGGTGTTAGGACATAGCAACAATGGTTGCACATAGTTGCACTTCTAGTCATGCCAGGTGGATCACCGGGAAACCCACCAGGAACGGGGGAGGAAGCTTGTCACTTGCCCCCTAGGGGGAACATGGAGACCAGGAACAGCCAGGAACACGAGGATGCGGCAACTGCACCAGAATGACAGGGTTCCTGAGAAACGTCGGTGGGAGATAGAATAAGATTCTCCAAAAGCAAAATCTCAGGAACGCTGCCATTGTGGTAAAAACGTGATTTTGGACACAAAAATGCTTCCCATTGTGGTAAAACAGGGATTCTGTGACATAATCCACAGGGAATGGCCCGAAAACCCCTCTGGCAGTGTTACTCGTGGTCTCCAGTCCTACTAAGCACACTCGGACATGTTGGCTGCTAGTTGTGTGTTGGCACGGTACCTCTGAGAGCCAAACCTTTTTCCAGCAGTATGCGTGCAACAACGGACATCACCCGGCACTGGTTCTGGTGCCCCGAAAAGTCTGCATTTCTTGCTTCACACTTCTGGCCCCCCGTGGTGTTGCATCTCAATGTCTACTTGCAGGCAGCTGTTCCGCTTCCCAGGGCACAATCCAAGCAAGCTCGCTTAAGCGTAGCGCATCTTGCGCGTTTTTGGCCGCACCACCCCGAACTCTAGTGGCTTCGGTTGCACCGGCTCAGGACAAGCAGGCAATTCATGAATTGAGCAAGCCTGGAACGTAACTGCGAAGCCCGGCACCAATGCCATGAAAGGAATGTTGCCACTTCGGGGCTGCGAACCACAATCAGGCAGCATGGCTCAAGTGGAACAACCATGCTCAGAGCTGAGGTTGGCCGTCAGGGTCGGCTCGACGTAGTTCCTGGCATTTTCTTTTCAGCCATAATTTGTAAGCTGCGACAGCAAAGCCGTCAAGTGGTTGGACCAATGCAGCGCCTGTGCGGGTGTGCGGGGTGCTCGCCCCTGCCACTGTCCCTTTGCAACTAGGCATCCTCGAGGACATTTTGGGCTGTAGAGCATATTGGTCACAGCACCTTCTTGCCGCTGCTCTCATGCTTCTGTTTCAAATATGCTACAGTCTGCCAGAACACCGTCACCTGCCATTGGCGCAGGGCAAGGTGGGAGAGGAACCTGGACCCAAACGCACGGGATTAAACCTTGATTAGGGAAGGGTTTGGGGCCCCAAAGCAGAGCCTAGAATCTGGCACCCAAAAAGTGTGCTCCCACTTCTTCCGGCCTCTGTTTCTGTCCCGCCCAAGGGTCCCAAAAATAGGGCCGCAAAGCCGCCCACTTGCCCAGCCCTGGTGCGCAGAGTGTCCAGGGCTAACAGATCCGCATCTTGTAGCTTACCCCTGCGCAGCCGCCATCGCCGCCGCCACCGGGCAACCCATTTGTTGGCGGACCTTCCGACCCATACTCGCAGAGGCACTGTCGCGTTCAAATTGGTGGAACCCAGCAGCTGCGTTTGTTCTCAGCCAGCGCTCCCTTTAGTTGCTGCAGCTCCATGCATGCGAGAAAGGCTAGGGAGCGAAAAGAGATGAAACAGCCTGGCATGTACGTTACCCACTCAGTCTTCGACAAAGTTTAACTGGGGCTTTCACAACGACAAAGTTTAACTTGGTCTTTGGAAGCGACATGTGTTTACTGGGCATTATCAGACCCAATGAGTACTAGTATAAAATAGTATAAGTATATACCGGACTCCAGAGTTTCAAACAAATCCCACTCCAAACCCAGAGCGTGAAAAGTGCGTGAAACGACCGTGAAAAACCCGTGAAAAGACAGAAGACCCGTGAAAACCAATCAAAAACTTGAGCATGGAAACCACATATTTTTATTCAGAATTTTGAGGATTGATTTACGGATTCGATTAGGCTCAGGGGAAAGGTCACCCTTTTTTGGCCTTTAGTATGGCCATGTATGGCCAATATATCAGCAGTCAATGATTGTCTTTAAGTAAAGTCATGGCTTTACTTGGACGACAACGTTTAACTTTGTTCTTGGAAGTAGTGGGATACATATGTGCGATCTCGAGTTGAGCGGCCTGGCTGCCATATGAAACGAAATGGTGTTGCACTGCTTTTCATGTAGGTCTTTGTCTGCAGGAACGGTGACTGCAAACAAAGTACAGCCCCATGCTCCGTATTTCTGGCTAGGAACCCCTTGCACAGCCTGCGTGTCCTAGCCTGGCTGCGGCGTGTGCAGTGATTGCACCCCGTTACAGCTACCCAACACCACCATGGGCTATGAGATTGGCATGGATGAAGGACATGACTGCCAAGTGCAATTTCAAATTCTTCACACATGCAAAGAGGTACAGTTGCGATACGCTCTGGTCAATCCTGAGCACAAACATGAATTTCCATGGTATATATATACATACATACATTGAGTTTTTTATCTAATCAATTATATACCCTCTGGTGAACTAACATAAAATATAGCTATTGAAACTTGCCATTTATAGTTGATTTACCCATCAAACATGGTGATGTTCCATAGTTGTGTAAACGTTTGCCAGAGGGTAGTGATATTAATTGCCAACATATTTGTTGGATCACTTGTTTACTGCCAATTACTTGAATCTGATATCCCGGCAGCTTTCCCTGGGGGATGAACCTACAGTTATGGCCCAAGATATCAGTTGTAAGCGTCAGTAAGTCACCCCATGAAAATGGAATGATGTCCCCATTGACAATCATTTATAGTTAAAATCAGACCAGTCTCTAAGCAGTAGACATAATCCCCCCAAATGTGTACTCCCATGTGTCTAGTAGGGCCTTTTTGGCCTATGATAGAACCACTAGCAAGTGAGAGGCAACCAGAGCTGGCAAGTACTCAGAAAATAGTCCTGGGTCCCGGATCTATGTTCAAGCATTTGGGTGGATTACCCTCTGGTAAACTAACATAGCTATTGAAAATGGTGATTTACAGTGGATTTACCCATCAAAAATGGTGATTTTCCATAGCTATGTTAGTTTACCAGAGGGTAATTGCATGATTCTCGTTTCCTCAGCATCATACGTGAAATTGTTTCAGGTTTCTCATAATAGTTTCATATTCCAATGTATTCCATGAAACAGGTCGACAATATCTGTTGGTCAATTACTAACACAAGAAGTAAGTAAAGCTTGGATGATCATTGATCATGGCCAACCTTAGATCTTCTTAAGGAGGCAATTTGTTCACTAGTTGGATATGAACACGCGACCAGTGAGCTAATGTTTAAGGCCTACATGTTCAATGAAGTTGGGGAATGTTGGGGAGGCCCCTTGCAAATACACATTGATGATGGGTTGATAAGCGGGCCGACAACTCGTAACAGCCAGCCGCATTCTTTAAAAGGCGGCTGCCGCAATTTTTTCCACACAAACATGATTCACAGAATAGAGATGGTTGGTCCTGAAAATTCAGTTGCATAATCCGGTTGTATTCACCACAATCGAGCTCACCCCAAGCCTTCATATGAAAACGGGAATTATCCAAACATGAGGGATACACCAAAATGACATAACATGGCAATCTCCATAAAGAACGCAATGAAAAGACATGGGGTTTGGGGTTTCTCGTACGGGTCACAAATAAAAAGCCACCTGTTCCACAGAACAATATTGATCACTTTCAGCATTGAACCATCCATTTGACAGAATTGTCAAAACAAAAACAACTCAGCAATCAGTTGGTAATGGATTTCCAATTTTGTAGCTGACTTGTTTCAACATTTCCCATTATCAAACAAGCTCCCTACTGTAGCTGATTTCCCCAAAACTACTGCATAGCCAGCAACGCCAGCAAGGTACTTGACACAACGATACTTGCTAAGGAGGTACTGTACTGGACCCGCATAAATCAAACCTCAAATGCTTCCGAAGAAGATTATTTAACCCCTTACATCATGACCCAAACATTTCTATTTAAGACCCTAAATCACACCCCATACTGACGAAGTACGTCTGCCAAAGGCTCGGAAAATAGGGTACACCACTCCAGTTCGACAGTTTTCAAAAAGGAAAAACTGGTGATCAGAGATGAAAACACATGTGTAACCAAAGACATTGAAAACTGCTATACCTACTTTCAGAAAACATACCCTAGATACCCTGGGGTGCCTTAAACATTCCGTAAGGACACGATTGGATTTTAGGCGAATTCCAGGGCCCCCCAACGGCTTCGCAACAGCTCACCATCCAGCACCTGAACGGGTGGGTGGATGTACATATATATATATATACAAATAATATATATATATATATATAAACATATATAATTATATAAATATAATATATATATATCCCCCTGCACATTTACCAGGTGAGTCAGGGCAACCATTTTGGAAGGGACCCAGCAGTTAACCTTACAAAGATCCATGGTTTGGAGTTTATAAAATGGGTTGGGCAGGAGGCTTGGTGTGATTCCCCAGCAAACACCGGTGAACCAAAAAAAAAAATGGCGCCCTACAAAATGCATGCCCCAAGTTTATTTCCAGGCCCCAAACCCAATCATCTTATAAGCTTGTGTCTTATAGAATGGTTGGTTTGGAAATATGTCTTACTTGTGCATGTCCAACTTTCCCCGGGAAACCCCGCAATCTTTTTTCAAAAAAAACACGTTTTTTACAAAATGGCATGGTTGACCAGAAAAAAAATCCTTACAAAATGCCTCCGTTTGTTACAAAAATGCCCCTGGAATGGAACATGGGTCAAGCCATTTCATAGTGGAAATATACAAAGGTATATATATATATATATATATATTGGTTGACAAACCATATTTTGGATGATCTAAGTGGGTTATCTAAATGCATATGTATATGTACTATATAACATTGATACGCTTATATATTATGAACACACCGGGGTTTTTCAATGATTTAAAACTATATATGCACGCATCACATACTCAATAAGTCACATCATGGTGGGCTTATCCCATTGACACCACAGGGCGTTTCAAGCTCCTAACCAGTTGCAGTACAAAGTGGCATCAACACCATCAACCAACAGAATCACGATGTTTGTTTGTTGCATATAGCCCATTATAGCCCCATGTTGAACAGTTAAATGTCAATTGTCCAGGGATCTCCAGGGCACCATCTTGCAAAGATATGTTTTTATCATCTATGGCGGGTCACGAAATATCTCAGTGCAGGGGCAAAGGGGGCCGAAGCGTGGGTTTCCGACGTTGCGCTGTGACGCTCCCGGGGGCGGGTGGCGCTGCGACGCTGCGACGCTGCGACGCTCCGGGGGGCGGGTGGCGCTGGGACGCTGCGACGCTGCCGTTGGGCCAGTGACGCTGCGACGCTGTTGGCGCTGCGACGCTGCGACACTGGAGTGACGCTGCGACGCTGTTGGCGCTGCGACGCTGCGACGATGCGATGCGGGAGCGACGCTGCGACGCTGTTGGCGCTGCGACGCTGCGACGCTGCGACGCGGGAGCGACGCTGCGACGCTGTTGGCGCTGCGACGCTGCGACGCTGCGACGCGGGAGCGACGCTGCGACGCTGTTGGCGCTGCGACGCTTCCTTCTGCAAGAGTGCACACGGCGTTGCGTCGCTGCGCGACACGGAAACCCCCATTGAAGATCGTCAATGAATGTAGAAGTTTATATATAACGGGGCTGAAAGAATTAAACCCTTATTGAAGATCGTCAGTGAATGTAGAAGTTTAACGGGGCTGGGGAGAATTAAACCCTCATTGAAGATCGTCAGTGAATGTAGAAGTTTAACGGGGCTGGGGATAATTAAACCCTCATTGAAGATCGTCCATGAATGTAGAAGTTTAACGGGGCTGGGAGAATTAAACCCTCGTTGAAGATCGTCAGTGAATGTAGAAGTTTAACGGGGGTGGGGAGAATTAAAACCTCATTGAAGATCGTCAATGAATGTAGAAGTCTAACGGGGCTGGGGAGAATTAAAACCTGATTGAAGATCGTCCATGAATGTAGAAGTTTAACGGGGGTGGGGAGAATTAAACTCTCATTGAAGATCGTCAATGAATGTAGAAGTTTAACGGGGCTCGGGAGAATTAAACCCTCATTGAAGATCGTCCATGAATGTAGAAGTTTAACGGGGCTGGGGGAATTAAACCCTCATTGAAGATCGTCAATGAATGTAGAAGTTAAACGGGGCTGGGGAGAATTAAACCCTCATTGAAGATCGTCCATGAATGTAGAAGTTTAACGGGGCTGGGGAGAATTAAACCCTTATTAAAGATTGAAAGTAGAAGTTTAACGGGAGCATTGAAGATCGTCCATGAATGTAGAAGTTTAACGGGGCTCGGGAGAAAAACCCTCATTGAAGATCGTCCATGAATGTAGAAGAACGGGGCTGTCATTGAAGATCGTCTAACGGGGCTGGGGAGGAAGATCGTCCTGGGGAGAATTAAACCCTCATTGAAGATCGTCCATGAATGTAGAAGTTTAACGGGGCTCGGGAGAACTAAACCCTCATTGAAGATCGTCCATGAATGTAGAAGTTTAACGGGGCTGGGAGAATTAAACCCTCATTGAAGATCGTCAATGAATGTAGAAGTTTAACGGGGCTGGGGAGAATTAAACCCTCATTGAAGATCATTGAAGCTCGTCCATGAATGTAGAAGTTTAACGGGGCTGGGAGAATTAAACCCTCATTGAAGATCTTCAATGAATGTAGAAGTCTAACGGGGCTGGGGAGAATTAAAACCTCATTGAAGATCTTCAATGAATGTAGAAGTCTAACGGGGCTGGGGAGAATTAAAACCTCATTGAAGATCGTCCATGAATGTAGAAGTTTAACGGGGCTGGGAGAATTAAACCCTCATTGAAGATCGCCAATGAAGGTAGAAGTTTAACGAGGCTGGGAGAATTAAACCCTCATTGAAGATCGTCAATGAATGTTTAACGGGGCTGGGAGAATTAAAACCCTCATTGAAGATCTTCGATGAATGTAGAAGTTTGAAGGGGCTGGGAGAATTAAACCCTCATTGAAGATCTTCAATGAATGTAGAAGTTTAACGGGGCGAGGTAGTGTTCAGAGGGGGTCGCTGGCTTGATCTTCGAAGATGCAACATATATTCAAAGGGGTGGCGGGGCTGATGTCTCAAGGTGCAACGTATTGTTCAGAGGGGGTTGGGGAGTTGATGTCTTGTGATGGTGAAGATGCAACATAGTGTTCAGAGGGGGTTCCAGGGCTACTGTCTCAGCTTGTCCGGTGGCTTCTCGGCTTCTCGGCTTCTCGGCTTGTCCGGTGGCTTCTCGGCTTCTCGGCTTCTCGGCTTCGCGGCTTCTCGGCTTCTCGGCTTGCCCGGCGGCTCCTCGGCTTCGCGGCTTCTCGGCTTGTCCGGTGGCTTCTCGGCTTCTCGGCTTCTTGGCTTCTCGGCTTGTGCCGGGCTTCTCGGCTTCTCGGCTTCTCGGCTTCTCGGCTGTCTCGGCTTCTCGGCTTGTGTCGTACTTCGCGGCTTCTCGGCTTCTCGGCTTGTGTCGGGCTTCTCTGCTTCTCGGCTTCTCGGCTTCTGGTCGCATTTCTGGGCCCCTTTTGCCCGTGCTTTGAAATATCTTGTTCACCAGATTCTATGCGTTGATGGGTAACCGGATGGAGGGTTTCTAAGATGCTTGTCGGATCCAAGAGTTGAAGTTTGCTGGATTGTAACCACAGTGAGAACAGGAGGATCTTAAACCATTGAATTCTGGGGTACCCTATTTTGAAACAATCCATTCATTAGGGAAATGGAATGGGTTGTAAGATGTTGTGACTCATTGTGGTGATGACGACTTCACCGCGACATCACAGGGATGACACCGTAGGGTAAATGGTAAGTGATCCCTTCCCTTCTTGTATTCGCAAGGCTTATATGATTGTGTATCCCATCATAGTCATATTCTAGTATACCACTACTTTGATCTGTTTCATCCCCATTATTGTTTCTTATTTTCAAAGGTTGATCAATGTTCTAATCAAACATCACCGAACAAAAAAGGCACATCTATATTTTCTATATACAATGATGATATGCTATTATATCCAACAAAAAACATCACCTGGTTTATATCCAATCAGTATAAAAATAATCAAACCGTAATATCCAACAAATACAGACGTTTCAGGTGACGTTCAGAATCCCTTGGCCAAACCCTGCCTCCCGCAGCACTGGCAGCGAGAGCCTTCCCAGCACCTGGAAGGCGGCCACGCCGGGAGGGATATGACCTGCAGTTGTAGCCCCTAACAGTTATTAAACAGTTAGTTTTTCATGATATAGCCTTAATTATAGGACTTATAATCGCATTTCTAACTGTCAGGCCCATAATTGTGGATTTTCATCCCCACATTTACGGCCCGAAATACAAGTTATGGATGCCAATTTATGGTCAATTAGACCCCCATGACAATGACCATATGGGTTTTACTGGCCAGAAATGGCAAGAATATGGTATTTCAGATTTCATAATTATATTTCCAGCCCCACAGAAAAAATATTTTTTTTTCATGATTTGGCCAGCAAAGAATGGACATATATATCTATATATATATATATATAATGGAGCCTTGAACATCCAGAAAAAAAACACACAACAAAATGTTTCATGTTTTTTCTCTGTGGCGGTTGATCCAAATTCCTTTATCTGCAACCGGCCATTCTTGGCGAATATAAACAATATTTCGCGAATCTTTCGCGAACTCCATATCTTTCGCGGAACCCATGTTGAGCAACAATTCCTCTTATGAAGATTCATTCGTCACCTGCCAAATCACACCAAATTACCACGGATAACTTCTTCATAGCCTTGCAAACATGCAGCTAGCATCACAGAATTCCCTTCTCAGGACAGGTTGCTGCTGATTAGGCAATTTTGTTTGCCAAATCACACCAAATTGCCACTCCCTGCAAAAATGCACTTTGACTTTCGCCCGCTCCTTCGCAAGACTTTCGCAGAATTTTCGCAACAATACCCCTATATCCGCAGACTCCAGCCATCAGCAGGGGGGAGCAGAGGGAAAGCAAATGCCAGGGGCCTCGGTGTTTGGCTCTCGCAAAGCCTCACTTTTGGAAGCTTGGCTGCTGCATGTGGAGCTTGCTTCTTGAGACTTCAGAAAGCAACATTAGGCAGTAGCAGCGGCAGGTCCAAGGATGTGCTTCAAGACCATGGTATTTGGGTGTGGCGAAGCATCACCTTCGGAAGCTCGGCTGCTACCTATATGAAAGGAAAGGTAAATGTGCAGTACCCTTCCCCCCCCGGGCGGCAGGAGATAGTAGCATGAAATAATCATGGTTCGTAATATCTTTACATTTGGCGAAACTTTCGCGAATAAAACATCTTTCCGCAAAAAAGCTTTCGCGAGGGTTCCCAGCATAATATGAACGGTCTTCGCAATTAAGACTCTTTACAAGGACCTTTAGATCGATCACATACCGGTACAAGTTAACCTGTGGTCAGGTTGGCACTATAGACAATGTATGTGGTATAAATTAGGAACGCAAGAAACTTAGCAACGAACATCAAATCAATTTAAGGTATCCTAGAATATTGGCCACGTATCAAACTGCATGTTCGAAGCCATTTTGAGCCTTTTGTCTAAGAAATCACCTCCGTATTTGAATTACACATTCTTAACAATGATTTCCATTTTTTGTAAACCACTTCAAGTTTCTGGTAACCATTTTCTAGTGCCCGACATCCAACCCACAGTGCGCAGTTTCGAATTTGTCAATCGTGTTTTTCGAAAATGCCCAGTTCACTGGACGTATCGCCCCTTAATAGTTGCCAAGGACAGCCCAGAAAGAAAACATCTCAACAAATAATGCAAAGTTGTAAAATTATGTTGCTTTTTGTTGCTGGCTGTTGATGAACCTTCAAAAAATATACAAAAGACTGCAAAAAACATAGGTTTTGAAAACAACAAATGTTGTTCATGACGTGTTGCTGGAAATCACGGCCACTTAAAGAAAATCATGTCGAGTGGTTGGGGTTCTTCAAGCTCCTTGGGTGCACCCATTGCATCTCACCAACCCAAAATGTTCTCCCTTTCACCCACGCAATTTGATGGCAGAGCCGCATGGCTTGTGTATGAATTTTCGGGTTTCTAGTAAGCCCATCTATACAGCAGAAAACTGGAAAAAACAGTTCCCCTGATTGGAAAGCATTCAGTCATAAGAATTACCATTTTTCTGGTTTTGCGGGCGTTGTGGCTATTTGCAGGGTATTTGCGGGCTTTTTGGCGGGGCGTTCTTGTCGCAAAAACAATGTTATAGTGGTTTTGTGGTATTTGCGCATCATTGCAGACAACCCACAAAGCTCCGTGGTGCTCTGCGGAGCAAATCTTGTTTTGCATCATACATCTTTACCTGCCAAATACTTTTCGAACGGTTCGGCTTGAAAGCTGATATCTTGTTGTACCAGCATGGCAGGCCAAAAAAATGCAAAATGGCTGCAAACAGGCTCAAACCACGGGAATATGTAATTCTTGTCAAGATGGTCGTTTGCACAAAAAACTTGGCGACTTAGGCAAAAACACGAGAACAACACAGAAAAAGTGCAGGTTCCAGGATGGTTAGATATCCGCTTTTTATAAATGCAGCTGATCCCCCCGACATCCATTTTCTA